TTGCTTAGTTTTCCGTCTTAACTTGGCCCCTCGCTCATACCCTTCAGTCTTTCCTCGTGCGCACTGGCACACCTGGCTGAGCCTCAGCTCGCGTTGCCTGCCTCCAGACAGGTGAAGAGAGCGCTGGGCCCGTGGGCTCTCGTCCGTGTGGCAGCAGCACGCCTGGAGCGGGCTCAGTGCTACGTGGTGGCCTCCTCCCTTCCCCTAGTGAATTTATCCTCCGCATTTGGAGCTGACTCTTCAGTCTCTCTCCTCAGAGGGCCAATACTGCTGCACTTACTGACTCACCTGGGAGCCCTGGGGTACCGTGGTGACAGCTCTCAGTTGCTAACCAGAAGTTTGATGGTTCAAACCAGGGATCCTCAAACTATGGCCCGCAGGCCGGCCACATGCCGCCCGCCGAGGACGTTTATCCGGCCCGTCGGGTGTTTTTGCCCCGTTTGTTTTTTTACTTCAAAATAAGATATGTGCAGTGTGCATAGGAATTTGTTCATAGTTTTTTGTTTTTTTTAAAATTATAGTCTGGCCCTCCAACGGGTCTGAGGGTCAGTGAGCTGGTCCCCTGTTTATAAAGAGTTTGAGGACCCCTGGTTCAAACCATCCGGCAGCTGTGCATAGGAAAGATCGGCAGCCAGTGTCTCCGAAAGATGTCCAGCCTTGGAAATGCGATGGGGCCGCCCTGCCCTGCCCTAGAGGGTGGCTTTGAGTTGGAATTGCTTCCGAAGCAGTGGGTTTTATTGTTACTTGGTGGCCTTACCTCTTGTTCCTTCAGACAATAAAAACAGTAGGAAGGTAATTCACAGCTCCCCCAACCAAGAGTCCTCCCTCCCGCTGCCTGCATCTGACCCCGGGCTCTGTGCTTTCCCTCTTGGTAGAAGGCTGTTGACCTGAACGGTCGTCTCCTCTTCTGCTGGACCCCACCCCTTTTTGCCTGTGCAAAAACGTTGCTCTGACGGTGCATGCGAGGGCATCAGTTGCTTCTGGGGTGTTCTCATTCAGTGTGTACATGCTTTAGCTCACCCCCCCATCAAGGAGATGCCAAAGGCAGAGATGCAGATGTGTGGCCCGTATTCCTTAAGCGACTTTAGGGTCCCCGCTTCATGATCTGTTTCATTCTCTCCCCACCTTGCAAATCCGTCATGGCCTCTCTGAGCGAAGGGATGGCGCGGGGAGTGGGAGCCTCGCTGGAGGTGATAGGAAGCAGCCACGAGGAGGTGATCCTGGGGGAGAAGTCTGAGGAGTGTGGCCACCTCTAGTTCTGTGTGATAAGCTCCCCAGGCGAGGGAGGCACTGAGAAAAGGTAGGCCCCCTGAGAAATGACGTGGCCGGAGGTAGAGCCGTGCTTCCTCAAGGGGCGATACCTTCCGCTGGATCCAAGAGGGGCTGGGAGAGCCCAGCTTCAAGGCTGCCCAAGGACAGCTGTTCGTTGCCAGGTGGAGGTGTTACGAGGAGGGAGCAGTAGCCCATAAGTTTGGGAACCTTGAGAGAAAATGACATGTTATATGGATTTCTGTATGTTCGAGTGGCTCCCATGAACTGAAAGAAGTAATTGTTGTTTTGTTCTGTTTTTCCTCTTTATCAGTACTGCTGGCGGTGGACAGGTTTTAACTTCGGCTTCGACCTCCTTGTAACCTACACCAATCGCTACATCATTTTCAAACGCAATACACTGAACCAGCCATGCAGCGGATCTGTCAGTTTACAGCCTCGAAGGAGCATAGCGTTCA